CTAAATAAGTCAAATAAATTTATGAATTAGAGAAGTTAATTTGTTAATAACATATTCCACGATTCGTGGGTTATGACGTTAAGTCATGACTCAATAAGTAAAGGTAAACAAGTTCAATAATTCATAATATATAAGTATAACCTATTTGATATGGGTAAGTTGAATTAACTCTTTCCATGCCTACAAATCAAAATAATCAATCAAGTTTTAACTACACTAAATGGCTTCCCTAGTAATTTTAACATAATCTTAGCTAGCTTAAAATGGAAAATGAGATCTTTAGCTTCTTGTTACGCCTATATTAGAACATAATCTCTCATTGGACAAAAATCACCCTCACCTATGACATATAACAACATCCATACCAACTCTTGATAAAAGAATATAGGAGGGGTAGTTTTGGTCACATACACAGCAAAAGGCTGGTCCGGAATCTTCCAGCATATTCTAAACATATATTAATATTTAATAAAATATACGCAATTTCCTCCACCTTTCGTGCACCGTCCAATTCCCCATTTCCGACCGGTCAGATCCAATCTCTTTGGAGAATCATAGATTTTGCGACCCCAAACATCGCCTCACTAAGATCAAAAGTCCAATATTACAGCACTCACTAAAGGAAAAAAAAATATATCTTTTATCTTTAATTAATTTTAATATTTTCATGAATTGTAAATAACCCCCCACGGGCCCCAGCCCCAGCCCACCGGCAAAAGTTTATTTTTAGTCCCTCTCCTTATTAAGTTTGAAATTTTTAATCCCTCATTTTATATTATGACATTTTTAACCTCTCATATTATTAAATTTATAGATTTTATCCCCTCACCTTATAGTATAATATTTTTAGCCCCTTATCTATTAAAATTAAAAAAAAATGACCCTCACTGTCTAACATTTTATTAGTTCTGTTAGTTGATTCCTGACTATTAATTTTATTAACTGACTGTTAGTTAACTGTTAATTATCAAAACTTTTTTTTTTCAGTTAACAGAATTAATTTTATAATATTTTATTAATTTTGTTAATTGGTTATTAGTTGACTTTTAGTTGATAAAAATCTACTTTTAGTTAATAAAAATCTATTTTTAGTTAACAGAATTAACAGTCAGTATAAAGTGAGGGTTATTTTCTTTGATTTTAATAGATAAGGGACTAAAACCTATATATCTGATAAGATAAGAGCCTAAAAATGTCATAATATAAAATAAAGAACTAAAA